ATAAGACACAACGGAATCAAATCACATAATATTTTAATTCTCACTATTTAAATAATGACTTAATGTCTCAAATCATAAGCACAAATGTCAAGTAATAGTCAATGACATTTAAATTGAATTCATATACTAAAATCATATGCTCACAAATACAATGTCACAAGCGCAATGCATAAAATTGAAAATCACACAATGCTATGGAGTCCACTGAGGTGTGCTAGCAACACTGTACCTGAGCTAATCACGGTACTAATCCTACTGCACAGAGGTCCACTAAATACCCTGAAGGGTCCACTAAATACCCCAAACTTTAAGCTTAGGTCCACTTACTCTATAGCCACAAACACATACGCATGTCAAACAAATTCATAATATGTCCAAAATAATATTAGGACTCCCTATTGGAAGAGATCAAAGCATAATGCGTGAACAATAATCGTGAACAGTAATCATGAACAGTAATTCGCAAATAATGCAATTTACTTATAATTCCTGTAGCAAAAATCACACCCAAATCAAACAATAGAAAGGATTAACTCACTATCTTTGCCATATAAACCCCAAAATTAAGGATATCTCTAATAAAAGTTTAATACCCAAAAATCTTATAAACCAAAGGATTAAAGTCAAATCTCACCAATTTAAACTACCCAAAACTCTAACCAAAAATTCATAACTAAAACTTATACTTACCTAACAAAAGCACCTTAACCTTGGTTGGAGAAAGGAGGAAGAAAAGGATGGAGGTGGAAGAGGAAGGCATAGGAAAACCAAGTGAGGCTTTTGGGAGCCTTCTGGAGGCTTATCCAAGCTTCCACCGACAAAGACCAAAAACTTGGCTGGGAAAATGCCATGTGGTAAGCAAAATTGGAATAATTAAGTTATGGTCATTCAACTTCTACTAAGTTTTACTTAAAATCCCTAAACTTTAAATTCAATCAATTTAATCCCTAAAACTATAAACTAAAGGACACTAATTTTTAAATTATTCACTAAGGTATGTGGGGTATTACACACCCTATCAAAAAGCTTTAATTCATTAGTGATTTTGGTAAAACGAGTAAACATGTCTTTAATGTCTTCATCTAATTTCATTTTGAATAGCTCATATTTTTGAACCAACATGTTAATTTTTGATTTCTTGATTTCATTAGTTCCTTCATGAGCCACTTGTAATTTATCCCACATTTTCTTAGCAAAATCACATGCACTAATTCTATCATATTCACTAGGATGTAAAGCACAAAATAATGCATTTTTAGCTTGAGCATTAATTTGCAGTTTCTTTTTTTCAGCTTGATCATATGATGTAGGATCCTTAGGAACAAGTTGGTTATCCTTGTCACTAACTAAGATTTTATATGGTCCTCTAGCAATACAATCCCACATCTCATAGCTATTTGCTTCTAACCAAATTTGCATCTTATTTTTCCAGTATTGATAATTTGTTCCATCAAAATAAGGTGGCCTAGTGATTGAATGACCTTCAACAAAATGAGCTTGGAAAGCTATGGATCTACTCAAGATTGTTAAATTTATTTCTAAGAGAATCTGCTCTGATACCAATTGTAATCCCAGCTAGCTAACCCTCAATTCCTAAGATATAAAACTCATTTCTTTTCTTTTATAAAAATGTGAATGAAGTTTTCAATGTATACGTACAATATGTTGTGCAAAATAAAACAAAAATCAACTGCAATCTTGCAAATAAAGTGCAGAAAAATAAAAAGAAAGGGAAGGGAATATCAAGTCATGATTTATAGTGATTCCTCCAATCCGGAGTACGTCCACTCCCTAAGCTTCCTTGCTCGAGAGTTCAATTCACTAGAAATCTCTTGCTTACGGGTGCAAGATTAAACCAGAACAAGTGAATCTCAACTCACTCAACCCTTTCAAGGATTATCCCAATTCAAGAAGAATACAAAACCCTTGTAAGACAATTAACCCAAAA